ATTTACCTAACTTTCACTAGCTAAAACATAATGTGGTTGNACAGACGGAAATGACAGAGAGTGTTATGTCAAGAAGGTTTGAGGGCTTGTTACGACAACATTGAATTTACCTAACCTTCACTAGCTAGAACATAATGTGGTTGACGATTCAATTAAGTATGTGATTAGAATGATGTCTTTGCTTTCTTTCAAAATCTAATATCTATTTATATTAGTATTAATTCCTTGACTAAATATTACTTAGNAGGGCTTGTTACGACAACATTGAATTTACCTAACTTTCACTAGCTAAAACATAATGTGGTTGACGATTCAATTAAGTATGTGATTAGAATGATGTCTTTGCTTTCTTTCAAAATCTACTATCTATTTATATTAGTATTAATTCCTTGACTAAATATTACTTATATAATAATACTAGAATAAGTTAAAATGAAGAAAACAAAGATTTTTAACGAAAAAGTATAAACAAATATATGCTCCATAACCACGTCGAAAGGAAAGGTTTTGATTGATTCATGATTATTTTGTTCTTTCTATTCTCACTATGTACTTTCCTCCTCTAGTNAAAATGAAGAAAACAAAGATTTTTAACGAAAAAGTATAAACAAATATATGCTCCATAACCACGTCGAAAGGAAAGGTTTTGATTGATTGATTCATGATTATTTTGTTCTTTCTATTCTCAGTATGTACTTTCCTCCTCTAGTTATACGTCCTCAGGTCCGGTTCCAAGAGCTTACCATGATATTTAGCACCATTTCAATCAAAGTCAAACATACCGTCTCTTGTTCCATTAGTTCTACTTTTTTATCTTGTATATTACTTAAGTATTCACTTATAAATGTTAGACCTTAATTAAATGATTAATTTTCTACAAATTAAAAAAAATAAACTTGATAATCATAATCGTTGAATAGATAGTGCGTTCCGATAAATATTGAGACCTACAATGAAATTAATTATTATAATTATTAAGTCTACTTTTTTAATTTATTTTTTAAGTTCATGTATTATTATTCTAATTAAATTCATGATAAATGATCAATACGAATAAGAACATGTTATATTGGATGACATATGGGTTGCAAGTATGAGAGAGCGGCCAAATGGTAATGACTTATGCTTGACTATAGTTGGTTGCGAGTTCTGACCTTGTCCCATTTTCTTTTTGTACCCCGCCACAACCACGAAAAAAAAAAAACAAAACAAAAAGAAAAAAAGCTGTCAAAGCAGATAGGAATTATAAGCCATCTTTTATGCAATTATGAATTTTTTATGCTGTGACACGTGCACTTTTATCCGAAATTGAAGCTAGAGATAATCAAGGAATTAATTTGAATAGAAAATATAAACCCAAAATCTATCATAGTCATACTGATACAGTGGTAAACTCTAATATGAATCACAATGGTGTTTGTAAGAGGCAAAAAATGAGGATAACTCCTATAGGAACGGAAGAATGGATATTTTTGATAAAAGTGAGTTCTGAACTTGATCTTCTAGTCTTTTATTCGAAGGTACTTCGATGTTTAAATTAGTAATGAAACTGAGTCAATTGCAAGAAGACAAGGAGAGTTCGGCATACCTTTCATCTTGACTCCTTATGCCTTTTATAGATCTTCGCTTAGTTAGGGTTTCTTTGATTTTCGATTTAAGGTGGTACACTTCCTTTTAATCCGGTGATTCTATTTGAGAAGTTGTTGAGATCTCTCTAGCAATTCTTTTTGCCGAGCCTATAATCGTGTCCATTTATTTAACCAAAATACCTAAGTTTCAGGCATCTTTTTAGCATCACGTTTACTGTTTTAACAACTCAGTCATGACAAGCGCCGAACTCTTCTTTTTCGTCCCGAGCTCTTTGAACAACTCGGCCGTTGACTGATGATTGACTAATAATACCTTTCTCATGTGACTGGTCTTGTCACCATCATGTGAGATCATTAAATGTAATTACACGTGACAACCCCTTCGGTGTTGCGTCACATTAGTTTACTTGCATACACACGTAAATAAGATTTGTTTGATCTAATATATAATCATTGCGTAAGCTTGTATCGTATTTAAAAAGTACCAAGTATCATAATTAATAAACCTACACAAAAATTTCTCCACAATTAAGGCATACCAGTTCACAAACATATTTTCGATCAAATTGCTTTAGTCATGTGATTATTTGTATAATCTTCCTTAGGACTGCTAACTTTAATGCAAACAGTGTACAATATTTTGCTCCACAATTGGGATATTAATGTTAAAATTGATATCATTCCAATATTTTTTTCTTAGTGATTTATCTTTTTTTTTTTTGGTCAAACGTTCAGAGGTATTTTGGTCAATTTAAGCATACCTCAACTAATCCCCTCCTCGATCCGGTTAAAGACAGACAATTCACGCTGAAACTAAGATATTCATAAGACATAAATTTCTCATGACCTAACCTCAATGAATTATTTGATTGCTCTCGCCCCTAGTCTCTAAAGCGTCTTTGAAGAGAAGCCCTGAGCTACCGCCCTAGGAATATCACTAGTGAATTGAAGTTTGAATCTCAAGATATTATCTACTAAGTCACTGTCATTCAAACTAACTTGATGGTTCTGAATCTCCTCTTTGTAAGATTATTGTACATGGATGTGAGTGAGACAAATTCTTAGCATATAAATAGATATCGTGATTCGCAGTAGGTTTGACATTGTTGTATATGAATGGGATTCCGTGGCACATGCTTTAGGATGACCGTAACACGAGCTCCGGCTGACTAATGAAGCTAAGTTGCTTGCAATTAGCAAGTTAATTACAATGATCCAAAACCATTATAAAAATGGTTGAAGGATCCAATTATTTAATTGTAGGTTGTTGACATTCTGGGTATTTAAATAATTAAATAATCTGTATATAGAAGTATATAATGGAGAACAATGGGGGCTTCCACAAGTCATGTATCATTAATTTTGTGTCTCACTTTGTTATAATATATTGACAAAACGACGTTTCTATCAGAGTTTGACAGGCGAACTTAAATAGTAAAGCATCGAAAAGGTTAATTAGTCTTGAGATTGTGATCCGAGAGTAACGGCAACATTGTGGTCAGTTGCAGTAGGTATACGGGGCCAAGCATTTAACACTAGACGAGAATGTAGGCCCATCATGACGTGATATGTCAGAGGAATAATTACTCTCATTGACTGGTCAGATCACTCTGCATTACGATCTCAGAAAATCTGAATGAAAGCATGATCCTGACTTATGCCGATCTCTTGAGAGAAGGTGTATTCAGTGATTGTGAGCAAGTAATGCGTACTCGACACAACTCAATAAATAACTTGTAAAGATCATTAAATGTTAAGGGAACGTGCATTTAGTACTTGGCATCCCAAGCTACTATAATCATTATAGAAGTAGAGCTCGAGAGGAGTTTAGCTCATCGATGATTACACCTTTGAACACTCCCTCAACTGGCTTGATGGGACGTCTATATTACTACATCACCTCATTGGAAGGTATAAATATCCTCAAGAACCGGGGTCTCATGTACACATTCACAAGCAATTCGCAGAGTAAAAGTTTTATCCTTCCTTTGAGTTCCTTCTGACTTAGGCATCAAAGGAAATAAGTCGGACATACCTTTGGCTCTTTTCTGACACTGTTCTCTGTTGTAGAAACAAATCACACAATATTCACCGTGATCCAGCTATCTCACTTCATTGCAGGAAATTACCTGTGCATCTATATAAAAATATAATGGAGAAAATTTTCAGTTATAATTTCTAAATTTTCTTTGGTATAAATCTTTATAAGCCCAATATGAGCAACTTCAAATAGAAATAAGATATGTTTTGTAATAAGAATAAGTAGTGTTTGATTTCCAAAATTAGTTTCTTGGCTACAGTGGAGTTATGTTTTTAAGTCTTGTCATGCTCAAATTTGTTTAGTCCATGTCCAATTCATTTATAGTAATTTATATTTTAAGTTCATGTTGATTCAGTTTTCAATTACATAGTTCGTCAACTAATTATGATCTGAATCCGTGAAAACTAAAGCCATAAGTACTTAGTTATGTTGATTTTGATTTTGATTTTGTGTTAAATTGATGGATTATATTAAGGATTAGTAGCCCTAATCTTGATACACCCATAGAAAGTTGTTGGCATTTGTTCAATTGAAGGACACTATCTCTTCTGTGCCTGGGGCACTAGGACAAGTCATTTAAAGCAATGACTGTGGGCAACATCTTGTGGCATAAAAGACAAGAGGCAGCATTGATGAATTCTTGTTTTTGTTAGAAGAGACATTGGGTTTGTTGAGTTTTGGCCATTCTAAATGGAGAAGAGCCACTGAAATGAGCCACCCCCCATTCTTTGATCACCTTTCCTTCATTCTTTTGTATAATTTGAATCGATAGATATATTTTAAGAGTTAGTGATTTGAGGTCTCGAGTTTGAATACGACAAGAGATCTTCTAGTTAATTTAATGTGTATTGTTTGTATGTACATAGTTACACATTTTAAATTTATGTTGTGATCGTAAGTTCCAAAAGAACGGGGTTATGGATAAGCATAAACACCACCTCATACTGTCAAATTCTCAAATTGTGGTTATATGTAGTACTCCATTGAGACTGACAGATTTCTTGGCTGTATGGCCACATAAACTTCTTTAAAACTGATGAAAATACGAAACTTTCATCAGAAACACATGAAACCCCTCTCATTTTCAGTTGAGTTATGAAAATGAATATCTGTGTGAATCACGATTTTGATGTGACTTCTTCATCTTCTTACTCGGGCAATGAATTTTAGGTGTACCGTCCAAATATATACGAGTCGTGTCGTTTATTGCCTCAGCCATATAATTGTTGCAATGCTACAGTTAGTAAACAACCACCATATTTAAATAAGGGAGAATTTCTTTTAACACCCNTTGATACACCCATAGAAAGTTGTTGGCATTTGTTCAATTGAAGGACACTATCTCTTCTGTGCCTGGGGCACTAGGACAA